GTAGATCTAGGACTGAGGCTGTAGACCGAGGACTGAGGATGTAGACCCAGGACTGAGGCTGTAGATCTAGGACTGAGGCTGTAGACCAGGATTGAGGATGTAGACCGAGGACTGAGGCTGTAGATCCAGGACTGAGACTCTAGACCCAGGACTGAGGCCAGGTTCAGGAGTCCTTTCAAAACGGCAAGTAACAGACAATGACACAGCGGGTCCAGGTTTTGTCCAAAAAACGATCCATAATAAAAATATTAGAGAAATAAAATAGAGAGAGAGAGAGAGAGAGAGGCAAGAAGCAATATCTTTGTCAGATCACAAATATAAAGAGGCCACTGTCAGATTTTTATTGGAATGACATAATAAGTCTCATGATTGTTACATAAGACAAAGAACTAGAGAAAAGGGGAAAGATCAAGACTAAATGGATGGGTTTGCTTTGGTCTCTTCTAAGGATGTAAACCTTTTTTACAAGTTACAGGTTTTTATAAAGTTCTTAAGTATTTCTGTGTGGGGTTTGCATGGTCTCCCCGTGTCTGTGAAGGTTTCCTCCAGGTGCTCCGGTTTCCCCTTCCACTACAACATGCATAATAGGTCTGATTGTAATGAGTGATACTATTTCAACAATAAAAGATAATTTAATAAATGGCAACCACATAGAGATAGAGAAAAAGTCAGTTGTGAAGAAGTCATGAAAATAAAACATGTACTGTAGAGTCAGTATTCTTCCAAAATGAAAAGCCGTCAAATCGGGAGGTCGAGTGTTCAATAATTATATAGGAATCGTGACAGTTTCGGGACAAGTTTCCAGACTTAATTGTCTTGCAGAATTCTTCAACCGATCTAACCTCGTTCAACATTTCCTTCTATACTAGGTAGTTTAATTCATAAGTATAATTTCAAATAGACAAAAGAAAGAAGATGTTAAAAGGGTTAGGAAACATACTGTACATACTGTACTGTACTAGATACGTCCTTTTGAAGTGTATATGTATCAATGTTTTCTTTACTTATGTATTATTATTATCATGATTACAACAACAATATTTCTGGGTTAGTCATGGTTTAAATCTAGTTATTAAGCTACTGGTGAAATCCTTGTTTATCCTTCACTGGTTGGTGACGTTGGTCATTGATAAAAATAAATGACTTTGCTGCAGTAAACTAGCCTGGTCGTACCACACCATAGTACAAATTACATTTCGTACGAAGGTCTGGAGGTGATCTATTGAGCTCTGTTAACAGGTGGGAGGGGTTAACTCCTTTTGCAGATTGAAACGATTGCATCTGAGTTTACCGTCACGTGTGTAATGCGCCCGAGTCAGTTGTTAGCATTTAGCCTAGCCATCTCCTTTGCTGCTAACGGAGCCCGTGGGGAGTAGCGCCACAATCTTTGCCAGAAATGACTTTTGCTATACAAAAGGCTTCAATTTCTTGATAGAACCAGACTGGATTACTTTACTATCGCATGGTTTGGCAATTTTGCCATTGCCAAACAACAACCTCCCAGTTCGGCGCAAACTCTTGACGTCACCCACAACTAACTACAACACCCGCCTCCCGCGCTCGCTGATTGGTTGGATGGAATTCAACTGATTGTAATCGCAAACACAGTGACCAGACCCAGATGTTGCATGCAGGAAAATGATAATTGAGCGGAGTGTACGGATGGATAAGGCCAGGCTAGCAGTAAAACCAAAAGCACATGATCACAATAAATACAAGACTCACACCTGCTGAAGTGAGAGAGACCGCACTGCAGAAAGTGATGAAGAATAAGTCAAAAAATGCTCAAATTTGGCAAAATGTACTGTATCTTAGTTTTGGCACGTTCTGACTGTGTTAAAACAAGATTTGCCAAAAGGACATAGAAAAATTAGATAAAATAAGACTAAATGGCTACTACTGTAAATCTTTAATGCCTACACTGGTTGCACTGGTTGGCAACGTTGGTTTGACCTGCAGACTGAGCATTGGAAGATTTTGTGAAAAAATCAATGACTGGCAACATTAGAGTGAAAAACACATGAGCACAATAGTACAACAGCTGTAATACAATTAACCCCCCATACATTTGTGCATCTATAACACACCAGCAGACACACGGAGCGGGACTAAGCTAATGCTAATGCTAATGTAGCATGGAGGTGTTGTTTGTTAATGACATGGGGCCTCTCCTGCTGGGACTGCAGATGATAGCCAGAGGCTGTTATGAAGACACAGCCAATCAGAGAGAGTCTGCGGGTGACGAGACCGGGAGAGACCAGGAGAGACCGGGAGAGACCAGGAGAGACTGGGGCGCACACGGACAGAAAGGCCTTTTGGGATTTGGGGTTCAGTTCAGTTCAGATTGTTTATTTGAGCTCAGAGAATACTTCATTTTTTAAGTAGTGCTGTGTAGAGTTCAAAGTAAGAAATACTTACAAACACCCATCCCTTTCATTGTATAATTAAACTAAATGTATGATCTAAGTCAAGAGTAATACATACATAGTTCAACATTCTCATAAAAACATAACACATATAATTGTTTGTATATTTGGACTTTTATAGCATTTCATCTTCAATACATATAAATAAATGCAGAAATAGTGTTGGTTTCTGGTTATAATGTTGTTTAGAAATATAGAGTATGAAATGAGCAGACTGTGAGACCCAGCCCTTATGACTCACAGCGTTCATACAGAACCCCCACATTGTGTTGATGAAACGCTGTTGTGTTGAATGCCACTTCCCTCATGATGATGATGATGATGATGAGGGCGGGATCTGTCAGTTGTATATTATGACACATCAGACGCAGCTTTGTGGCTGCATTTGCTGTCAAACCAAACCTAGGATGTACTCAATAATGTCACCCTGCACCACTTCCTCTGCTCAGATTTTAGCTGCACAACACAAAACCACACAGAACAGCACGTTTTCACCTGTGGGGGCGGGTGGGAGCATGGGCTGACATACTTGCAACACCACTCCTAGTCTGTGGGGGTGTACCCAGAAACAGAATTACCCAATGCTTTTGAATGGCGCCTTCTTTCCTCTCGCTTTACAGGATGGTCCAAAAGTCGCTCTTGGTCCAACTGGCTACGTTCCAGATGCTGTCAATGATGAGGCGGGAAATTTTTTTTGGACCAGTCTTGTTTAGCCGATGTGGACTTCAGAATGCACACCTTAAATGAATGGGGCTCATGCAGCTAACGCAGGCGCAAATGTGTTTTTTCACATTTTCCAGCCCCGTGGCCATTTTGAAACTGCCCACAGACGGCACTTCAGTTTCAGCGGCGGAGATAGATGTTACCCTTACGTTACTCTATGGTTTGCCCTTACTTTTTCACTTACTACAGACACACACACACACAAAACCTCACCCTTATCTTATGATCTGATGTATGTTAAAGATCCTAGTCCAAATCCTAGTCCGTCTTACTCTCAGTCTGTCTTTGTCCCCCAAGCGTTCATTAAAGTAAATAGAATATATTGTCACATTGATAGTGTTTGGAGCTGTCCTTCCTGTAGAGCTGATCTGGTGGTTAACCCTGGACTCTGTATAAGCCGCCGGAGCGTGTCTTTTATTCATAGAGCTGCATTTTCGCTGGTGTTATATATTCCACGCTCCAGTGCTCTGTGTTTCTGCCACTGTGCACAATAGAATTCTCTGAGAGGGAAATAGTCATTACAGCCTCGCAAGTGTTGGCTGTTAAAAACAAAAAGGTGCGTTACGGGAAGAACGGCGGCGACATGTTTTCCGTAATTAAACTGAAATTACAATTTTTAGAGTTTTGCCAAATGAAAAAGACTGAACTTTAAAATCCAATGCTCTCTTCATGTCTCTGTGTCCGAAATTATGTTTTTTCCTTAAGGTTGTAACACTATGGATCTAGCAACTTATTTTAAACATTTTTTTAGATCATTGTTTTTTTGTTATAGAATGATGTCAGTCCAGAGTGTGGGCTGATGATGGCTGGAGACCCTCACCTTTCGCTGTTATTATGATCTTTGAGCAGACTTTATGATGGAGCGGGTCAAACAGGGAGACAGAAAACAGTGTGGCCTTCAGCCGGAGACTAAAGCCAGAGAATCACATGAAATAGAGAGAGGAGTTCATGGTTCCCAGAGTTGGCTCGTCATTCAAAGGCATCAAAAATGTCATCTATTGATTTTGTCACAACTGTTTTCTCTGATTGTGAGTCTGAAAAAAAAAAACGTGACTCATTGTTTAGTTAGTTGCATTTATTTAAAACCTGCAGAACATAATTTCCCATATCTTTGTCATGGTGTGGATTTTGTGTTATTTTATTGGTTTTATTTTGACTAATTTTGTCCCCTTGATTATTTGCTGTAAATCTGTTTTCTTATTCAACGTCATTGAGCTGTTGGTAATTAGGTTTCAGATTTGAGTTTGAAAACAGTTGGTGTTTTCTGACATGGAATCAGAAAAATTGATCCAAAATAGATTGATATCAGAGGAAAATTGCCGATTTATTCCCACCAGTAGGAAACCTATACATACAGTAGAGCATCAGGTTGTGGACTTGTTTATAAACGCTTCTATAAAATACAACTGTCACATTTATAGTCATCATAAACCCCAGCTCTATATGTGTGTGTGTGCGTCTATATATGTGTGTGTGTGTGTGCGTCTATGCGTGTGTGTATGTATGTGCGTGCGTCTCCCTTCATAAACACGAGAGCCGGGCCAGCTGCTACCATGGCAACGCTATTGTGCTCCGTCCTCCCTCCCCACTCCCTCCCCCCTTCTGGACCACTCCCCCTTCACCCCCCTCCCTCCCTCCCTCTACCCCCTGAGCCTGTTCTCCGCTCGCTCCTTGCTCCCCTCCGTCAGACCACACTGAACCAGAGACGAGGAAAGAGGGGTCCGACCAAAAAAAAAGGCGCTTTCGGGAACTCTCTGTGGGGGGTGGGAAGGCAAAAGAGATTTTTTTGTAAAACATAAAACAAAAAACGGAATTACCCCGGTGGGATAGGAGCGCGGATTTGAACCCAGGATGAATGAAGAGGGCCACTCCCACTTCAGGCTGGACCCCAGTGACCGACTCAACGGGCTGGGGCAGAGACGGAAGAGACCCAAAAAGGTATGGATGAAGCAGAACTGGACATGTGGGTTCAGAAATGGCCAATTTTTATGCTTAAAAAAACCTTGAAATTGCTTGAAAATAAGGCAACCAATCTGCTACTATTGTCCCGTGTGCATTATTAATGGCATTCAATTTAAAATAATCATGACATTTCGCAGCATAAATTCTTAATGGAAGCTCAGTTGTGGCTAAAAATGTACCGAGAGGCTTCATAAATCACAAATTTCAATCTGTAATCTTGCATTTTTATTCACTTTCATGGCAAAATATTGGTTTATATTTGGAGTCAATCACAACGGAGAGAAGATGAGGTCACAGTATGTCGCTAATTTAACATCTGAGCAAAATAGAGGACCTGTTTTTATTTTGTTTTTATCTGATAAATGATATTCCCTTTTCACATTACATATTCAAATCTTTAGCATCGTTGCTATAGTTACATGCTTAAACATAGCTGGTCTGTGTTTTTGTGCTATCAATTTGAACTTTATCCATTTGTATGTATATGTTTGCATGGCCTCCCTGTCATATTGAGTCACTTATGCTACTGCTTGACATTTCCTGTGTTATATTTTTTGTGTTTTATGCCCTCTGCTGCTCAAAGGTCTTGCCCCTAGTGCGATAATAAAGCAGTCTTGAATCTTGAATCTCGAATCTTGAAATTGGACGCACATTTGGACACAGCTTGGTGTTGATGGACTGGTCTACATGTCTTCTCCCCCGTGCGCTGTGGTGTTGTTGTTGTTGTAGTAAGCTGTGGTGGGAGTAGGAGGAGGCTTCTGCTGCTGCTGCTGCTGTTACTGCTGACAGGGTGGGTCCCTTCTCCCAGCCTCTTTGTGTGCGCACTCTCTTGCCTCTGGACTCGGGTTTAAGGGGCAGATTTGTGTCGCTTTTGATATGAAGTGATGGACGGTGGGAGAGCTCAGAGCCTGATTTAGTCACATAGACACATAAACAGACACACACACACTGGGATCTAACTCTGTGGCTCCAAGACACAGGTGCTCGGCTTCCACCTCCTCAGACAAACTATGACATGCGACATTTGGGACTTGACCCGAGAGGACCAACCTAGACCTGGACCTCAGACCCTCGGACTGGAGCTGTCGGCCGGTCGCACTCACCCAGAGATGGTCATTGAGTGTCCAAATCTAATCTCAGACCGACCTCAGCTCCGTAACAAGGAGCTCATTGATTGCCATTTTCACGCCGGAGACTGGATCTGATTGGTCGACTTTATCGCTATGCAAGATATGAAAGTCTGGATGGTGTTGGTCTGTGTCTATGGACCAATCTTTAGTTGTGTTTCTGATGGAGATGCACTGATTCTGCTTTTTCAAATCCGATTCTTTGGTTTTAATGTCTGACGGCACCCGATGTGAACTGATACCTGTGGAGGTGACTGAATATAGCATTTTTCTTCTCTAAAAATCTCATTGAACTTATTACAAATGGGTACAATTGTGTTTCAAATCTGCCTCTTCAATTACACTATATTTATAGGAATATATGCTTTTGACCATATGACCCTATTGTGTATTTTAACAACATTTATGGACATTGGTCATCTGCATCTTTTGGACCAATGGCTCTATGTGTTTTGTATCATTGCATCTTTAAACTGTGTGATTCTCTGATCTGTGTCGGTGAATCGAAAGCTTTGAAAAGCCCTCAGATAAAACTACTGCTGTGATTTAGAGCTACACAAAAACAAACGGAATTGAATTACAAGATACAAGTGAAAAAAAAATCCCCAGATTGAGACAAGGACATATTTTCTGTATTTACGAGCACTTCTGAATGTGTCTTTCTGTCATGGTTGTCATTTGTAGTTCCTGTCTTATATGTTTTTTTGAGTTTTACTTCCTCTTCCTGTTGATTGCCCCGCCCCCTGATGTGTCACACTTGTGTCTCCCAGTTAAGTTCCCCGAGCTCATTCCCTCTTGTTGTCAGTCCTTTGTGTGTTTGTTCCTCAGTTCCTCAGTTTGTGATTTACTTTCAGTTGAGTTTTGTTTTTGGATTCTTGTATATTAAAGGAGAAGTATGTAAAAATCTGTCCAAAAGTGGTATTGCAACCTCTCCCACTCTCCCTGACTCAGGTTGACACATATGCAGATGAATCCAGCTGGGATCATAATATCTGAATAGACAAGAGTTTTGTCAACAACAAATCTATAACACCCTTTTCACAAAGATAGAAATCCTGGTTTTAGTCCTTGTTTTGTTATTAATGATTTGAGAATCACAACAAGACCTTTTGTAGCTCTGCGGCCGCATGGTAATTTACCAGTGAGATTAACTGGACACGGTGAGTTATGGCAACCCAGATCACAGACTTTCAGATCTAAATAAAACAATAACAAGATTTAGGGGCTGTAAAACTAATTTTGAAATTAAAATATCTCTGGTATTTGAAAAGAGCATGGTTTATTAACGCCTTTTGACAGATTAGGGCCATTAAATGATGACTTGACATGAAAATCGTATCGCTACTTTAATTCATATTGTTTCTTGCAGTTTTGTATTTTGGGTCCCTCATCCTTTCTCCTCTGTCTCCATAACTAGAGGATAAAACAACTGAACCCAGCCGTTACCATATCACCAGTTTTACTCTTGTCAATTTCTAACCCTCACATGATTGAGTGTTCCTATTAGACAGCTCCAGAGACGGCCGTGTGCATTTCTCGCTGCCTTCCGTCCTCTTACTGCATCTCCAGATCTCTCTTTATGACCCAAGGCAGGGCTGCAAAGACATTAAGACAGATGGAGGACATTTCCCCATTTTACAAGTCGTATTATGGGAGATTTGTGCTCCAGTAAGTCCAATATGGAGGACTTGTTTGAATCGAAAGAACAGCAGCTGGATAATTAGCTCACCTTTAGAGCTACTCCCTGCCGTCTGAGGGCTTAAGGCTGGTCTGAAGGCCGGGACGCTAATGAGAAGCAATGGAGAAACTATGCAAATCCTAATCTACCAATCAGGATCTGAAGACGTTCCTTTGTCTTTTGAGATTCCTACAAACGTAATGATACATGATACAGGCCCCTGTAACATCAGTGCATCTGAATCTTCCATTTTTTCAATTATTTGTCAAATACAGTAGGTCAATATATCTGTATCATAGTGTACTGTCTGAAGTGAAGAAGTAAAGCTTACTTGGAAAATGATTTTATCCTTATTTTTTTGTCCTGTGTAACGTTTTATTGTTAATTTAAAGGGAGAAAAAGGCTGCAAAATATGAGAATAATAGAAAAAAAATGGAGTAATGATAAAATTAAAGAAAATAAACTTAAATACATAAATACAAAAAAATTAATAACAAATTGGCACTTCATTATATATGTTTTCTTTTTTCTTATTCCTCAACTGGTAAAAGTTTTGGATTTTTTAAATATTTTTTTAATAGAAATATTGTGTTTTAATGCTGTTCAATCTGGCTAATCTAAATCTATGTGTATAATGCATGTTGTTTTCCCCAACAGAAAGAGTCTTGTAAAAGTAAAAAGTAAAAAAAAAAACTCATTTCATTTCAATGTATTTGTGTATAGCCCTAAATCACAACAGCAGCAGTCTCAGGGGACTTTACAAAGTTGTCAATTCACCAACAACCAATCAGAGAATCAGACGGTTTTGCAGGAAATGTATTAATAACAAACACACAGGAGCCATTGGTCCCATATTTTACATACTTGTAAGAAAGAAAGTCAGGGTGGTCGTCTCTTTGTCACTTTTTTGTCTGAAAAATCTCTACAAATGTGAGTGAGAACCAAAAATGTATATGAAAACTAGCAATAGAACCAAACTATTTTTAGAGCAAGAAACTAGCTACAGTCAGTTCCCCAGATTTAACTTTCAGATGCAAAAAGTGGTGATGATCCAGGACACTAGACATACAATGACATTTATATACATTTATGGACATTCATAGACATTTACGGACATTTATATACATTTATGGACATTTATGGATATTTATATACATTTATATACATGTATGGACATTGGTCATCTTCCCTAATTGACTATGCGTTTGTCATTGTTGAATTTCTTGTGTTTGAACTGTTTGATTCTCTGATCTGTGGCAAATTCAATGGTTTTGTTAAGTCCTCCGAGATAACTACTGTTGTGATTTAGGACCACACACAAAGAAATAGAATTGAATTGAAAAAGAAAATGTCTGTTTTGCAACCGATTCTGAACACACGTCTGCTGGTGTTGTACAACTTGATGAGCTTGTCACATCATAAACACAAACGCACTGTCAGATCCTTTCTACACGGACACAATTATGCATCAAAAGCTGCTCTCCGGGCGGTAATCAGAAAACGGGGGTAAAATCTGAGGCGTTTATTGCTGCATTAGCTGCGTCTGGAAACACTGGCTAAGCTTTTGGCAGAGAGACGGGGGGGTTATCAAATCAATACATGAATTATTGATAGGGCCCCTCCCCCCCTTGTGCTTAGACAGGCACAGTGTAGAGGACAAACAGCGAAGCAAGACACTGATTTAAAGGTTCAAACGTCCAGGGGTTCCTCAGGGTACAGTGTTTGGACCTATCGATTTTTGTCGTTTGCGGCATGAAAAGTCAATAATTTATTAATACATGAAGACGGATCAGTTGTAAGTTGTAAAATGATGTTATGTGGTTTTGAAAGCAGCAATGTTGACACGGACTCAAGTATTGAACGGAATTTTGATGAATGAAAATTGGACTCGCGCATGACTTTTAAAGCTGGGGTACCTAATCGCTTTTCACATATGTGTGACAAAAAGTGTCTTGTCAAAGTGAAAGTGTTGAGAACAAACCAGACCACGACATTCCATCGTCATTCTGTAAGAAAACACTTTATTATTTATCATTATTATTTATTTATTCATTTATTTCAATTGTGGACATGACAATATATCACATATTACAATTATAGGGTGACAGTAGCTCAATTGGTAGCCTTTGGGCCTTTGGGCCTGGAGGTCGTGGGTTCGAGCCCACCTCGGGACCTACTCCAACTGCTCCCACAAATTTCTACTGTCGTTGTGTCCTTGGGCAAGACACTTCCAATAAAAAAATGAATCTTTATTGGAAGCAGCAAGAAAGTAAGTGACAAATTGCATTATTTGGAAATAATGAAAAAACTAAATTTACAGGAATTTCATACAGATAAGGAATAAATGGAGAGGGGGGAGGGAGGGGTCTCTAATCGGATATTATGAATTTTGGGATGTTGTGTTTTTGTGTGTGTCTGTGTAGGTCACTTATTGCTGGATAATATCACAGAAGTGTGTTAGTAAATGTTGTTATTGTCGTTTTTTGAGACAGGAAGGGTCTGTCTCAATGATATCTGTAGCACGTCGAGATTAACTCCAACTGGTGCTTTGGTCATTAAAACTCTAAGCACTTTAATCTCGCCCCCGCCGCATTAAAACTCCTCTCGCTGTGAACCAAAAAGACTTCAAAATCCTCCTCTCTCCCTCCGTGTCCCATCTCCCTCCTCCCCACGATGACAAAGCCTCGTCACTGTCCCTGCTGCGATGAAGACGAGGGTGTCCAGTTCTGATGATGCAGGTTTGTCCCCTCTGCAGTCAGGGACCAGGGCATATACTCAGGTCTTCGGTTTCAGTGCGGACTCCAGGGATGTATTTGGAAATGTGTGACTCAGCTGAATGTCGTGGCCAAGAAGTGACAGAAAAATCATTGGACTCAGTTCTGCAGTGGATCGGAGCCGCAGTGCGATGAAGTTTTACAACAAGCTTTCTGTGGTTTCTTGTGTTAAAAAGTGGCAGTTTGGGGAAGTATCTTGCTTGAAGGCACGCTGGAATGGATCGTCAAAATGTATACGGTACAAACCTGGCGCATTTCTAGCCCAAACTATAGCAAAAAATATGGATAATTTTGCTCTAAAAAGTTACAAGTTGAAATCCAAGAGAAGGTTTTGATGTTTTTGTGATCGCTTCAGTAAAAGATTACAGCTGGGCGACTTAACTCTAACTTTCAAACCAGAAGAAATTGAAGAAACTCATTGCTCAAAACAGTTTGATTCAATCACTAGTTTTCACATCATGTATTTATGGCGTGTTACATCTTTAAATCAGATTTTTCAGACAAAAGTAAAAAAGAGAGAGAGGCCTGTCCCCTCGACTCAGCCCAAAGAGTCAAATTTTTGACTCACCACATGTTTCCATTAAGATGAAGACAGCAGGGTGTGGTCTGATTAGTTCACGGCAAGAGGTCTATCAATGTTTTTATTAGGGGCGTCCTAGGAAAAGCATTGTTAAATAAATACTTAATTCAGTATTAAGCAATACATCCATCCATCCATCCATCCATTTTCTACCCTTTAATCCATTTCTGGGTCAGGGGGGTGGCAGTCAGAGATGCCACCCAAGTCTCATAGCACCAGCCCCTCACTGACCCTCTGCAGGTGGTGAGTCCACAGGAGGACGGCTGCTCTCTGAGTGTGAGCATAGCCTTGATCTTTCAGTGGGGGCTTTGGGCAAAGTGGGGTTAAGTGTCTTGCCCAAGGACACAACGACAGCAGTCATCAGTGGGAGTCGGTGGAGAAGGTGCAGAGGTGGTATTAAGCAATACAGATGTAGATTTTTATATATATTTTTAAAAATCAATCTTTAATATGTGTTTATATTTTGACTTTAACCCTTTAATTGTTTCCTCAACCATTTCGTGGATCACCTTTTGAGTCTCTAAATAGACTTGGAACTGAAATGTACATCTCACTTGTTTTTAGGCACTCTTACCATCAAGGGTTAATAACAACAAAAGATAAACATATCAGATCTGCAGAGGTCTCCCATCACTGTACTTACCAAGCCCTGCCCTGCTTAGCTTAAGTCCTCTGACAGGATTTACACATTCAGGCGGAGTCGTTCTTTACCTACGATGCACAGTCTGCTCGTTAGACGCTGCGTGTATTTATGGCGTCAGTGTCTCAGTTGAGCGTGGAATCAGAACTATTCATATTGCTATTGTAAGTAACAGGAAGTCACAAACTAGGAACTTTCTTTGAAATATCGAGCAAACAAGTTATGAAAGATAGCTATAAGGCTTGCATTAAAAAAAAAAAAATCTGTCAAGAAAATTGCTACTACTGCACACATAAACATTGAACAGACTTAGACAGTATTGATCCACAGGGAAATTGCGTTGTCACAGTAGCTTGCATTGTATTCCACAATGAAAATAACATTAAAGTAAAAATCTGAAAATAATAATAATTGATTGAATACTTTATTTATCAAACAAAACAAAATGATAACATTCTGCACGATACAGAAATCACTGTACCCACACATGGGCAACAAATGAAGGACAAAACTAAACAAAGGGGCACAGGGAGGATCTGTACAACATATATATTTTGGCTCAAAAAGGAGTGGGAAGAAAAAGACTAATATGATAATATTATGGGAATAGAATAATCTGGATATACTGTAGGTGTTGAGAAATATACATATCTATGAATATATATACACATTTACAGACTAAAATACTGTATATTAGGATAATAGGATGCTACTATCTGTTCATATACAGCAGTGAAGGTTAAAGTGACAGATTCAGATTCAGATCCATTTATTTGCCATTTGCAGTAAAACCACATAGGAAAAACTGTGCAAGACTACCCCAGTGTGCACCAGACGACACACACCAGAGCTCTTGCCACGTACAGTAGCAAATACTGTAATTATCACTGGTTGATTCGTCGGATAAGTGCGAACCCATCTCCCATTGGTGACTGTTGTTGCGTGTTCTTGGGCAAGACACTTACCCCGCCCCTCCCCCAGACTCTGCCTACACTGGAATACATTTCAAAAAGCAATTTAAGTTCCTAAAGTTAGTAAAACGCTATAATATAAAAGTATATTTACAAGTTTTAACAGACGCAGGCTTATTTCCCAGCGTGACTCCATTGGCCGAGCTTTCTCATGTACGTCTATAAATGTTCCCATGACTCATAACTCTCTCTCGGCGTCTTCAGCCGCCGCCGCCGCCCACCAGCGCACGCCGTTTAGTGCCCAACTCCTGCCGACACATTTCTACATCACACCTTGTCCTTAACCCCTCTCTGCTCCCATGTGTCTGCTGCTAATATTTGACTCTTATGTTGTTTAATTCCGAATGCAAAATGATAAAATTACTATAACCGTGCAATAGAGATGTGTCCCTTGTGTTTAGAGTCAAATGTATTATTCTGGGATGGACCTGGACTAGTTTGAATGGACTCTATATTGAAGTGCTGGACAAAACAAGATAGCATTAAAATCATGATTAATCACAGTACATTAAAAAGAAAGATAAAAATATAAAATCCCTCAGTTGTACAGGTATGCACAGCTAAACAGAACTGTCTTTAGATTGTTCCAGATTGTAGCAGCATGAATCTGAAAAGCAGCCTCCCCATGTTTAGTCCTGACTCTGGGCACCAGCAGGAGGCCAGTCCCTGTGCTCCTCAGAGTCCGAGTTGGCTCAAACAACTTTTTTATATAAACATGACAAAACCATGGCAGGTTTGATAGTGTTCGTTATAGGGGGTGTAAAAACAAAGATAAGCAAAGATATGAAATCTCAAAATCTTCAATACAAGTTATATTTTGGTAGTTCCAATGTCCCAATATGTAAGCAGTGAAAGAGAAAATGCTTTGGTGACATGTTATGCAATTATTCAGCCCAGTTTGTATTTACTGTCCAGCCTTAATGTTGAAAAGCCGGTTCCCAAAGGTTCTTAAATTGATCCACATTCAACTGTAATGATATATATTTTTTTCATATACAGTAAATTTATTGTATTCCACTCACACATTTTTACATGGGTTTATTCTTCATTACCGGGATTTAGGGACCTGGATTATAGACAGGTCCCTAAATCTCATTCCCAGTGACATTTCCCGCTACCGTGAAAGGAGATTAGTTAAAACCCCAAAATTGTCTCAAGAGTCCATCCATTTGTTTTTGCTGCGAAATTGACTCGAATTTCAAAAGTGTTTTAGAGAAAAGTGCGTGTGATAGAGTTGATGACGGATCCGGCTGAAGTTTGACTGGAGTCATTTGTGACGCTGAACTCGCCGCTGACCTCAGGGACTAGAATTACTTCCTCCTCAGTGTCCTCCGCTGTCGGATCGAGTTTGTCTGAGAAACAAGAGGAAGCAGAAAGGACTGGGCTGAAGAGAGGACCATGTTTAACAACAGCATGAGACTGAGAATGATGACTGTGCACTTTATCATTCATCCTCTGCATTTGACCCATCCTGATGCCACTAAGGCTTACGTCAGGAGCAGTGGTCGCCGTAGTAAAAACGCCCGGGAACCCATCTCCAGATGTTGATGCCCGGAGGAAACCTACGCAGGCTCGGCGAGAATATGCAAACTGTTAATGCTGATATTTAACCACAGTTGAACCTGACAAAATCTCACACAACAAACAAACAAAGTTAATCTTTTACTTGTTACCCATGTACAAGGAGAAGATGTCTTGACAGAGACAGGGCACAGAGCTCAGGCTCTCTCAGAACAGATCTGACCATAGTCAGCTTTAACGCAGTATTTCAAGGAGATACAGTAAGACACACCTTCACTTCTGCACAGTCACAGTTTCACAATGAGACCTTTGGTATTTAGTATCAATCAAAGAAACGGTAGCAAACTGACCAGGCCTAGCCCGGTCCCATCTGCACACAACCCCCAGTGCCCAGGAGACTACAGTGAATTTCAATACAATATATGTTAGCCCCATATTACTTGAATTATATATTACATATTACTGCATTAAAATGATAACTTAATAACATTCCAATAACACAAACCCAGAAAGACTCTACTACCCCCTCCTGGGGCATAGGCCGCCAACAAGAGATCTCCAAGCTGTCTCTGCGTGTTTCCCTTCCTCTTGGTGGGTTCTCCTTCCCTCTGGACAGTACAGTACTCAAGTAAAAATACTATACAACAATTACTTATTACTTGTTGTATAGTAACCCTAACCCTATGGATAATAGACAAAGTAATTGTAAAGAGCAGTTTGAAATAAAGTAACTTCAGACAGACCTCTTACATAACGGAAGTGATTCACCTGTCGCTGTCTAATGAACCATGGAACACAAGCCAAGGCTTTGAAGTGGACTCCTCTCTCTCTCTCTCTCTCTCTCTCTCTCTGTCTCTCTCTCTCTCTCTCTCTCTCTCTGGACACTGGTCAGTCCCACAGATGGCTTGTTAAGGATGCCGCCGATCTGTTGTCATGGCGACCCCTGGGCCTCTCTCTGCCAAAAATGAAAACCTTTCGCTGAAAACATCTGAGGCGCCGTCTCCCGCTCAGCTAGCATATTCCAAATCCTTTCACTCGTGGCTTTTGTGTTTAAAAAGTGAAATTTGTCCAAAAACGGAAGGATTTGAAAATAGAAATGGGTTTTATGAGTTTTTGATATAGAAGAATATTAGTACTTTAGATCCCCTCGGCTTTAACACATCGCAATGAGACACACCATTAAACATGACTGTTAGCGAACGGTACATTAGCATCGTCGCAAAACAGCAAAAGATATTGAATGTATTTTGTGGAACCTAAACCTAAAGACTGCAGTACAGTACTTTCTTTTAGCCTGAGGTGTCGGACTGGTTCCAGAAAGAACCAAACATTATTCATTGATGAGAAGATCTTTCCATTAGTGATGTCGGGGAGCAGAGGAGGCTCTCAGATCAATGCTGAGGCTGATGAGAGAGGAGGTAGGGAGGGGGAGGTGTGAGGAGGGAGGTGTGAGAAGGGAGGAGGGGGAGTGAGGAAGTGAGGAGGGAGGAGTGGGTAGGGAGGAGGGAGGTGTGAAGAGGGAGGAGTGGGGAGGGAGGAGAGAGGTGTGAAGAGGGAGGAGGGAGGAGTGAGAAGGGAGGAGTGAGAAGGGAGGAGTGAGGAGGGAGGAGTGAAGAGGGAGGTGTAAGGAGGGAGGAGTGGGGAGGGAGGAGGGAGGTGTGAAGAGGGAGGAGGGAGGAGTGAGAAGGGAGGAGTGAGAAGGGAGGAGTGAGGAGGGAGGTGTGAAGAGGGAGGTGTAAGGAGGGAGGAGTGGGGAGGGAGGAGGGAGGTGTGAAGAGGGAGGAGTGGGGAGGGAGGTGTGAAGAGGGAGGAGTGGGGAGGGAGGAGAGAGGTGTGAAGAGGGAGGAGGGAGGAGTGAGAAGGGAGGAGTGAGAAGGGAGGAGTGAGGAGGGAGGTGTGAAGAGGGAGGTGTAAGGAGGGAGGAGTGGGGAGGGAGGAGGGAGGTGTGAAAAGGGAGGTGTAAGGAGGGAGGAGTGGGGAGGGAGGAGGGAGGTGTGGAGAGGGAGGAGGGAGGAGGGAGGAGTGAGAAGGGAGGAGTGAGAAGGGAGGAGTGAGAAGGGAGGAGTGAGGAGGGAGGTGTGAAAAGGGAGGTGTAAGGAGGGAGGAGTGAGGAGTGAGAAGGGAGGAGTGAGAAGGGAGGAGTGAGGAGGGAGGTGTGAAAAGGGAGGTGTAAGGAGGGAGGAGTGGGGAGGGAGGAGGGAGGTGTGGGGAGGGAGGAGTGAGGAAACGAGGTGTGAGCAAATGAGGCGTGAGGAGGAAGGAGTGAGGAGATGAGGAGAGAGGAAGGAGGAGAGATAAGACGAGGAGTGAGAAAAGGAGGAGGTGAGGAGTGAGGAGACGAGGAGTAAAACATAAAACCAGGGACAGTCCACACCATGACGACAAAACCACTTGAAATATGGATTGAATTCCCGTTTTTTCCATGTTTTCCTTGTACTCTCCCTGTCGTCCTGCAGGCACCATGTGTGTTGTTGTGTGCTGTTGTGTGTTGTCGTGTGTTGTTGTGTGTGAGTCTCTCTCTCTATAAATACTCCTCACACCCACAGTTTCTCTGCTCAGGTTCGCTCTCCTCCCACTCCTTCACTTGTTGCCATGGCACCTGTGGCCTACTTCTACTTTTACACACAAGAACTCAAAGTATGAATGAATCCTAGAAACCAAAATACTACACTATTGTTGTGTCTCTTTCTGCTCTCACAAAACCCAGGGCTTCTCTTTCTCTAAATAGCCAGCTGCATAATGTGTTTGCTAAATAGTGTGACCGTCTGTTTTGGTCTTTTACCCAAACTGTGTCTATAGTCTGTGTATATTACCACGGTATTTCATTAAGACTCTTGCCTCACTGCAAACCCACGGAAACAGACGAGACCATGTGGACTTTATTAAATCAGGAGAGAGAAGGGCTTTTGCTCGCTCAAACCCAGAGAGACTTTTAGCGCCTTTTCTCCAACACCGGCTTCTGCTGTTAGTTTGTGTGTTAGTGGGACTTTAGCTGACTCTGCACCTTTTAGAAATTGGTGTGGATTTAGCTTCAATTCTCTTGTCTCTCTCTGGTCTCTCTCTGGTCTCTCTCTCTGGTCTCTCTCAGGTCTTTCTCTGGCTTCTCTCTAGTCTCTCTCTCTGGTCTCTTTCTGTTCTCTTTCTGATTGCTCTCTGGTCTCTCTCTGGTCTCTCTCTGGTTTCTCTCTCTGGTCTCTCTCTTGCCTCTCTCTGCTCTCTCACTGGTTTCTCTCTGGTCTCTTTCTAGTCTCTCTCTCTTGCTCTCTCTCGTTTTAACTGTCTGTATATTGACCTTCATAGAATTGTCATGTATGTAGTATATGTATAGCACCAAACCTACACATGATATCCTATAGGAAATAATTGTATACAGCAATGTTCGTATTTGACATCCTGTAGAAAAGAATAGAAAGAAAAGAAACGATTTTTAAAATCATTGAAATGAAAGTAGAGTCCTGCTGCTGTATCCTTGATCTGACTTGATGGACGAGATGTTTGCCCTTTGTCCCATGGAATGATGATCGGTGCCGTATAATAATCCCTCAACCTTGTCTGCAGGCGATTATGTTTTATACAGTGTGTGGCAGTGCTGGGAAAACCCCGGGCCACGGGCCTTAAGCGGCCCTTTGGACGTTTCTATCAGGCCCTTGAGCCCCCCTCAGAGTGTATAGATATAGTTTAAAGACTGTAAAATCCCTCTGTGCTGCTGTTATAAGATTTCAAAAAAGAGGCCAGAAAAGAACATTGGAAATTAGGTCTTGCCCCGACACTACAGCAAACGGAAATCCCAAAGTTTGCCCAATCTCTGTGACTATGAGGAGGTTTGAAATTCTATAATATAAAATGACCAAATTTTGGGGTCAATTTATATGATTTTTTTTTCACAGACAATACCAAAAAACCGACATAACTGGAATCTCTTTTATTTGTCTGTGGAGAAATGTGGGTGTTGCTTAAGTAGAGAAACGACCATTGTAATCGTCAGTACTTCAACTTCAAACCCTCATGACCCCCGTTATCTCCACAGAGAGGGCAGATGGTCCGTGAACCGGCGGCCATATGCAAAAACCCAAGGCATTCTGGGTAATGTTTCCGATGGGCTACAGAGGTGACAAGTTATGTTAATGTCAAACACACTGGAGCTGGAGAGAGGCGTCAGACTGGAGGAGACACATGGCATTTGCTTTGAGAATTTAAGTCATAGTCTGGAATTATTAGCCCAAAAGTGATTGGTTTGTGATCTTAATGGTTTCCTCAAATATTTGGTAGATCGTCTTTTGAGTCATTTTATCTACTTTAAGCTTGGAACTGAAATCTACCTCATTGGGGCATCTCTGTCACTTAGTTTTAAGCACTTTTACCATACTATATCTATACATTTGGTAAAGGCCCATAATAACCAAGGCCTAAAAGAAATTGGGGGTAAAAAAAAAAAGGATTATTATTATAAATTATTATTATCATTATTTTATTTTATTTTTTCCAGACAACACAGTCACCAAACATATACTCACAATATGTACAAACAAAATATACAATACATAACATAACACAAGGATTAAAACCCATGTACTGCAAAAGCAAAACAAATACACAAGTTTGCGGACGGGACAAATGCATAGTAAACTGGTAAGACAAAACACACACACAAGATAACGTACAGACAGAACCCCTACACCTATAAAAAATGATTTATTTATTATTATTTTTCTGATCCACATTCTGGTTGGCAGCCTCACTGTGCCAACGTCATTAGTGTCCGACATCTTAGAAAATCATAAAAAGGAAAAACAATACATTGCTTTCTTCAATGAGTGAACCTTAAAGGGTTAAAGGGCAAAAAAAAAATACATTTAATCTATAGAATCAAACTGTTCTGAGAGCATGGGGCCACTTAAGCAAATATGACATAATTCCATGTTTTGCGGGTTGAAAATTAGGTCCCCTAGCTTCAAACTGACACCAGCTCTGACTTCCTCTTTGACATATTTAAGATGAACAGATCCTTAATTCATCCCACAGTGGATAAATAAATACAGTTTGAAAGAGTCCACCTTAAATATTTTGTTCTCTTAGAAATTCTACATGTTTAAGAAAAAGGGGCCAGGCAACATAAACAATATTCTTCTTTCTGCGCGTTTTCATTTGTGTAAAAAGAAATAGTAAAAAAATGTATTGTCAAGTCCACAAGTGAAATAAATACACAAAATTAAATACTCAAATACAAACTCTAGCTTTAGCATAATAAGGAAGCAAAATCTAAAATCTCCAACATAACAAAGCAGCAAGAATTAAGCATAAAATCTCTGACTTTAGCATAATAAAGAAGCAAGTGTGAAATCCTGTATATTCTACTGCAATAGATAGTTTTATGTTTACGTCTGTACATTTTAGCTCTGGGACACAGCGAGAGAGGACACACATCAGGTTCTATATTGCACATATATTGCACCAATGCCCAAAACAGACACAACATAATCCAGACAGCTCCTTAAATGTCAGCAGTGACTGGCATTTAATCTGGCTCCGACATGGACTCCCCTGTGGCCCTTCCCCAGGTCCGCAGTCTCTGTTTGCCTGATGTCGGTGCTTGACCTCGGCCTTATTGTAGAGACCTCGCCGCAGTGACCCCCAGCTCTGCATCCAAACACTCTCACTCCGACACACCGTGACCTCCGCTGCTCCCCGGGCATCCCTCAAACATCCAGATTCAACACTGACCTTTTCTGGACATCTCTGGGGGAAAGTAATGGTCTGAATGTTTGTCAGGACCGAGAAGAAAGACGATATTGTGCAATGTTTGAGGGGATTGTAGCGAGGCTCTCGGGGACTGTCTTTGGTGTCTGTCTGATCCCTCTTTGATCTCTCTCTGGTCTTTCTGGTCTTTCTGCTCTCTCTCTGCTCTCTCTCTCTGGTCTCTCTCTAGATCTCTCTGGCCTTTCTGGTCTTTCTGGTCTCTCTCTGATCTCTCTCTGGTCTCTCTCTGGTCTTTCTGGTCTCTCTCTCTCTGGTCTCTCTTTGGTCTCTCTCTGATCTCTCTCTGGTCTCTCACTGATCTCTCTCTGGCCTTTCTGGTCTTTCTGGTCTCTCTCTGATCTCTCTCTGGTCTCTCTCTGGTCTCTCTCTCTGGTCTCTCTCTGGTCTTTCTCTGGTCTTTCTGGTCTCTCTCTCTGGTCTCTCTCTGGTCTCTCTCTGGTTTCTCTCTGATCTCTCTCTGGTCTCTCTCTGGTCTCTCTCTGGCCTTTCTGGTCTTTCTGGTCTCTCTCTGATCTCTCTCTGGTCTCTCTCTGGTCTCTCTCTTGTCTTTCTGGTCTCTCTCTCTGGTTTCTCTCTGGCCTTTCTTTCTGGTTTCTCTCTGGTCTCTCTCTGTCTCTCTGCTCTCTCTCTAGTCTCTCTCTTATCTTTAATTGGAGGAGATCCAGGACTGTATTATTTGTTTGTAGCTCATCTTTTCATCTGTGGTTATTTGTGTGTTTACAAATGATATGAAATACATAATAATATCTTTATAGTAAATATATTGTAGTTAGATTTGTAATAGTTTGTGTTTGATAAGACCCTGACAGTTTCTGCTGACTACTAAAGATGCTGCAAAAGACTTTTCTTCAGCCCGAGGCAAAGTTTTCATATCCTCTGACGCTGACGTGCTCTGTCTGCTTTGTTTGGATGGTTTTCATGTGAGATCAACGTCGCTGCTCCAGACACCGTCCACATGTGCAGAAGAAAGAAAAGACCTGAAGAAACAAAGAGGAAGCGGCCGACTTTTCATTTCAAGTGGAAGATGTCGAAACACTGCTGCATTTATCGGTGCCACCTGAATGTGAAATCCAGACCTGGTCAGACCTCTGAAGCTAAGCAGGGCAGGGCCTAGTTGGTGCTGTGATGGGAGACCTCTGGGAACACCTGATGCCACAGTGGGGCGGCTGCGGCTGTAAAGTGCCAAACTGTCGTTGTATCCTTTGGCAAGACACTTCACCCACAGTAGAATGAGTCTGGCATGTACAGTATGTGTGAATGGTTGGTGGTGGTCAGAGGGGCCAATGGCACAGACTGGATGCCACACTTCTGTCAGTGTGCCCCAGGGCAGCTGTGGCTACAATAATAGTTTATCACCGCTGTGTTTGGAGTGAAAAAATAAATCTCTATATAAAACCAAGGCATTATTATTATTACAAACTGGTTGCCTGCACATCCAGCCGTACTTAACTACAGTGAAGGGGGCCAAAGTCAACCAAGGAGCAAGGTTGAACTTGAGCTTGAGCTTATTTTAACTTTTAAAAGATATCTCAGTGAAACATGACCACTGGCTTTAAATCATTTGTGGATGTCGGGCTGTTGAGGAGGAGGAGGAGGAGGAGGAGGCAGGTACTGATCCAG